ACTGGCTTTTCCCTCTTTTATACAGTCTGGGACTGTCGTCCCACCTCAGTTACTCTCGTCTAGGTAATTCTTCACAGATGCTCTAGAGATTTGTTTCCAAGGAGATTCTAGATCCTCTCAATCTCGATGATAAAGTTGACAATTAAGATTAACCACTAAGCAGGGGACAAATTAAAAGCCTAAGAAAAGAACCATTCACTGGAAGAAACGGATTTCAGATATTCAGGAGATAAGTATCATGATAATATGTAGGCCAGACCAATAGATTGGTTGTTGGGGTGCCTGCTTACTGTGCGCAGGACAGTGAGCTCATTCTCAGAAACACAAACTTTAACAACCTTCCAAAGGGAAACGACTTTAATCAACTGCAGATCAAGCTGCAGGAAGTAATGGATGAGTGCCCACATTTGCTAAGCACAATAGACTTGAGGTTGCACTATGACCAGGAAGCAAACAGAGGCCTCTTTGTTAGCATCTAAGGTATTGCACAAACACGGTACAGAGGCTCACCCTGACTTTCTACTGTCATCTTCTAAACATTCACAACGTAATTCTTTTAGTGGCATTAACACCAAAGTCAGGAAGGATTTCGTTTCATTCATGTGTATGTGCCTGAATTGAATTTATGTGCACCATGTATGTACAGGTGCCCACAAAGGACAGAAGAGTGTCAGATCTTCTGGAACTGGAGTTGTGTGTGCTGGGAAACAAAACTAGACCCTCTGTTACCTGCAGGTAGTGCTCTTAACCCCTTTTCCATCTTTCCATCCCTGCACTGACTTCCCTTTGAAACCTTAATATTGCTTCAATGTTACTGTGGTCACAGCAGGGATAAAAGAATGGAAGGAAGCAAGCACTTACATAAGTGGAGGAAAAACAAACAAACAAACAACACCCGAGCCTAGAGTTTGATGGGAATGGAGCACACGAGAAGCTGTACTGATGGGAGCTGTGCACACCTGAGCCTTGTTCTGAGATGGGAGCTGTGCACACTTGAGCCTTACACCACTCCCATCTCAGTGCAAGGCTCAGGGTGATGATTAGGCCAACTGGATGGTAGCGGTGCAGCGGTCCATCGAGGCAGAGAAGAACAAGGACAAAGGTCTGAGGGATGAGAACAATCACTGAGAACTGGAGCATCCTCAACTTTCTGGAAGAGACACACTTGGGCAGGTGAGCATCTGGTTTAATGAAGGTTGTGATGCAACTCAACATCCTTGCAGAAATCTCTACATTTCTTTGACCTGTTACAAGCAGCATTCCTGTCCTAAGAGTGCCTTACAGTCCACAATCAGAGTGAATCTGATCCCTCAGCATCTCATGAAGTAACTGACCTTAAACTGATTTTCTCCTTTCAAGAACACCATACCATTTGTAACCATGTTGCTTTCATACTTCAAGGAGATCTACTAACTAGCAGGGAGTTCATGAATTCTTTTAAATTCTAAGGTAGAGTAAACAATGGCTTCCCCAAAAGGCCTCCTAGGTATGAACTGACATTGCCTAGAAAAACACATCTGCGGCATAGATTCTACAAATTGATTAGAACTTTTTTATCATGGAGACTTGTAATTTTGCAGACCAGGAATCAGAATTCCTTTAATAACTGTTTACCATGCCTCCTCCATTATCAGGTAAAACCTTTGGGATGAAACGTAGATTACTCTATACCTTGAAGCTTAAAAATGCCATCAGATAGCATCTGAGACCTTTAGCAATGGTCTCCACCTGCCATAACCCTCCTTCCCAAGGACCCCACGCATGTATGTGGGGGCTGCATTTATGACTGAACTTTTGTTCTGTGACCATCAAAGTTTATGCAGTAACTTCCACATCAGAATGTGTCATTCAGGGTAACCTGAATCCATGTTCCTAGGCTATGTTCACTCAAATCTGGCTTAGAATAAATTTCTCACCTTCCTTTTGGAACAAGAGCTGTGTTTTGTGTTGATGTGGCCTTTCTTAGAAGAACAGAAGGTGGAGGGAGGGCTTTGTGTGTATGTAAAATGTACCGTTAAAAATCCTTTTTATGAATTCTTCTTCTGCAGACTAAGTTGGAAAAAATATTTTTAGAGCACAAAAAAGTAGGGAAGAAAGTATGAAGGACAGAAGGTCTAAGATACAACAAACCTTAAAAAAAAAAAAAATCAAGTTGATGACGGCTCTAATCTGACAATGAGTTAACAAGTAATGGGAAGAAAGTTCAATCTTCAGTTGGTCCTGCCTACTCATACACAGCCTCTTAACTTTTCAAAATTATTTCCTTAGAATCAGTAGCTTTGAGGGGAGTCAGTAATTTCATCATGTTTAAGAAGTAACCCCCAATATAAACTCAACTCTGGTGTCAAGAGACTTGTGGGAAAGCTGACAGGAACAGCTCACCATTCTTTGAGGGGTGATGAGAGACTCACACTGGAGATTACTGTTTTTCTTCTGCCTCAAGGGGAAGTATCTGACCCTGCTTTGGTGAAAAAGAATCCCTCTAGGGAAATGGTACCAGTGAGTAATTCCACATTAGACGGTATCTGGCCTTTACAGTGAGAGTTAGCCAAAGAGCCCAGGCCTCAAAGATTTCCCAGATGTCTACCGCAATCCCATGCTCCGGCTTTTTTATGGGATTCTCCATGCCTCAGTAAGATGGCTGCATAGGGGTCCAGGAATGAAAGGGAATAGAAAAAACGACTCCCTTATGACCTAATTCCAGAATAAACACCTATCTGATCCTATAAAGTGCATCTCAATCTGCCATAGAGAGACAAATTGCACCAGGACTCTATAGTGTTCTCTCACGGGACCTAGGAGCATTTCTTAAGCTCCCCAGTCTAAACCTTCTTAGAAAAGAGGAGCCATACACTTCAGTTAAGTAAGGATTAGAAGTGACCAGATATAGGGTACTTCATGGAACAACAAATGTTCTAGTTATTTATGTTAGACTTATATTTCAAATGGAGTTTTGAACCATCATTTACTTCAAGGATCTAAAGACAGGTATCAGAGCAGTTACTTTTAACTAAATTCACTACAACTATCGGAAACTCAGATTTTTAATTATTTATGTGCATGTACGTGCCTGGATGAATGTATGATGTGGGTGTGTGCCCTCCACAGCCAGAGTGTATCAGATCCCCTCAAACTGGAATTACATGTCACTGCGAGCAGCCCGATGTGTCACACTTAACCACTGAGCCATCTATCTCCCCAGCTGTCTGTTTCCTTAAGGAGTATTACTGCATACACCACTATCCTGATGGCATCACAGGACAACTGAACTTACCTGATAGAAAACTGTTCTTAGACTTGGTATTGACTTGATGTGAATAACATGAGTAACTTTCTGAAAAGACTGTAAATAAGCATGACTCTGTGCCATGCACAATCGCGGTATAGTCTGTTCTTCAAATGACCAGAGCTGTAACACAATAACCTAAAAGCATTACTTTGGTGCTGAGATGTTGTCACAATCAAGACTGCCCTAGCAGTGCCCTTACTTTTGTTGTAATACAAAGGCAAGTGGCTAGTGTACACACACACACAACACAGACATCTTGCAGTTTGTTAAACATTTGCCACACATCTTTAAGGCAGCTAATTCTAGCAACTGCAGCACCGGGGCAAACCGGTAATTATGTAAATTAACAACTAGCAATTATCTGGAATCAAGGGTGATGTCATGAAGTTGAACTGCAGGTGAACTTTTAGTTAGAATATGGCTCTCAAGAATGAAACCACATTTCAGAAGAAAGTGCTCAGTCCCCCCTGCTTTCTTCCCCAGTGATTACCACCTTACACAGCATATGTTCTGAAGAAGTAAGAGAACGCCCTTTTAAATTTCATGATTGGTTTAATCAGGTAATTCCAGGGGAGGGGAAAATCACTGAAACAAATCGTCTACCGGCTGATAAGTCCAATTACATGGTATGATGGAACAAAAGCAGTTACAAACTTGTATGTGCATATTTACATTATATACTCACAACTCTCAAGCTAGCTGACTCTATGTGGAGAGATGCATTAGGACAGCAGTTAAACAGGCTTCCACTGCTTGTTAGAAAGGATGCGGTCAGGCTCCTAGTGGGGGTAATATACACGTGAGGCACTTCTGAGGTCAAGGAAATAGAAAGCAAAACATCCTTCACACTGGAAACGTTAACACAAAAAAGTGTGTATCTTTAACACAAAGGCGTTCAACCAGATTTTTCTTGAAAAACTTCAAAAAAACTAACAACTTTTGCAATTGTAGCTTTTGGGACAATGGATGACATCAGTGTACCAAAGCAACCAAAAGGTTTCTAACTGCTAGGCTGTTAGGCAACCGAGTTGGTAACTCTCCTCCCCTCCCCGCCCACTTTTTGGTTTGTATAAATGCCTCTGCTTGTCAGTGTGCAAGTTCTTGATATTTGTAGTCTGACTCACCATAAAACACACACGGCCCTCTTATCATTCACAGCCGCTTTCCAGTGTCCCCTAATACTTACAAGTGTGGATCTGGACGTCAAATCAAGAGTAAGCAACATTTAGTGATGAATTGGTTTTATCGGTTAACTAAAGTTCTCCAAGTTATTTTTCAGAAAGAGGTTACACTTGCTCAATGCACTGTTGGACTACAAGTAAAATGACTTTAAAGCACATTAATCCAAGTTACACATTCCAAATATAATCAAGACATTCAATTTCAACAGAAGAAAGATCCATAAATTTCTCTACATTGCCCATTTAGAGGAAAGTACATGTTTCCTACATTCTGAAGACTAACGTGAGTTTAAAGAAATTACCTGTGTGCCACTTAACTAAGGGGAGAGAGGAAGAGGGGGAGGAGAAGACTCATCCAAGGAATGGGACAGCACTATACACATGAACTGAAAGTGCATTTGTATTATTTCAGAAGCTCACTTTAGGCACTGCTGAATAACCAATGAAAATAGGTAGTTTCAAGTTTTTCCCTTTAAGTTTGAAGCCCTGTCTCATCACCATCATCTACTCGGAAACACACACACTCTCTGGAGTTGTCATGATAAAATACAGGCAATTATGTTTTTTTTTTTTTTTTTAAAAAAATTCTCCCTGACTGGCACTGGGAAGAAAATAGGAATACCATTTTGGTAATGGCTTCTGAGTTAAAGGAACTGGTTGTATAAATGCTTCAGTATATACGTACGTCAGACTGCCAGTTCCAAGCTTCAATAAATATTTTAAAACAGGATATGTAAGAAAAAAGTGCTTAAAATCTTTCAGCAACCAAATAATGCATTAGAGTAAAGATTTATTTACATTCCATTGAGCTGTTCCTTACCCCTGGTTTCTCTGGTGGGCAGTGGGCCACCCTCTGAACAGCCATTTACTGGGCAGAGGCCACCTCCATCTCTTGACACTGGTCTAAAATCATCCAGCAGGTGGCACTGGAACTCCAAAGTACTCCTGATCAGCAAATCAAAGGCTCTGAGGCCCCTTTAAGCCACAAGAATCACTTGAAAACCAAAGAAGCCCACCAGGCAGAATTCTTTCCGGTCATGCATTTTGGTGATTTTCAGTATTTACTTTACTCTAATAGTTTTGTTGAGCCATCGGCTTAAACTTTAGACAAAAGAGGAGTTTTAAAAGGAAACGCTCAATGGCGGTGCCGAATCTGCGCAGCAAATGAAAAATCATTCCTGAATCCACCTGCACATGCTTGGGAATAGGATTAAACTGTTCATCTGATCACAGAGGGACTCAATATTATTACATCATCAGCTACTTTTCTGCACTGATATGAATTCGTATATGCTAATTACAAAAATCCAAAGTAAAAAAAAAACCAATTTCATTACCATAGTTTTTAATGAAGAGAAATGTTTAAAACTGTAAAGGAAAAAAACGGGAACAGGATGGCAAACTCTTAGCAGCAAAGTGGTTAAACAAACTGAAAATATTAATGCACAAACATTAAAATATTAAAGCAGGTATGTTGCGTATAAAATACAGTAGAGAACCAGGAGATGCACTATAGTGACTAGTGCTTAACAGAAAAATGATTAATTTTGTTCTTATATACACAGTTCATTTCCACGGCATTTCCTATATAGCCAGCAAGTTATAGTCTTCAGTTATTCACACCTTGTTCCAACCTGAATTACAAACTCCACACTTACAAATATGAATATTCATTCATAAGGAAAACCAGTATTTCTATTTCAGCAATAAAAAGGAATTTTGAAAGTTAACAGTCTGCTCTAGGAAACCAAGTTTATCTGAAAACGTCAGGGATGAAGATCATCTGTGTAGCAGCCTCCAAATATAGAAACAGTAAAAATAAGACTTAAAATTGCTGCTACAGTGTCTGGTTTTGGATTTAGTTCATCCAATTGATTTTTAGTACAAAACTAGAAATAACCTCTTCTTCATAACATCTATAGTTATCAATATATTTTTCTTCTTTTCAATGTGAAATAATACTTCAAGATGATCTATATACATAATGTTGTCAGTTCAAGCTGTCATATAAATATAAATGCTTTCTTAAAAAAAGTATTTTACAGACAGATAGTGTTATATATACATTGTTCAGTTTGATTTGGGGCAAAAGAAGAAAGCTAACACAAGCTTAAGTGTGACACACAAAATGAACGGTACAGAAATGACACTGAGAACCTGCAGAATGAACTTCAAATGGTAGTGTGATTTTCTATCACTTCAGAGACTTTAAGCAAAAGAAGGAAAAAAAGGCACACTGCTCAACTGTCAAGGGAGTATATCAAAGAACCCCTCATATGGTTAGAACGTAATGTAACATTTTAAAAAAAGAGACAATTTGACCCCAAAGCACTTTTAAATAGTTTGCTGGAACACACCATACCACTCTGTAAATCAAACATCCCATAACACAAATGCTCTGTGACAGGATGTGATGTACAAGCTCTTCCATTCACAATGGCGGATTAAATACTTTCTTGGGAGAGTTCCGCATACATTTTAATAACTTTGCTCTTGACTAGCTGAAATAAAATGCAACTGAAAAATGTTATTGTTATGTGAGTAATAATAATAAGCACAGAAGATTAAGCTTAAAAACAATCAGTGAAACAGCTGTGCACATTCTGGCTTCGCAGAATGATAAATGGAGACTCGAGAGGAAACTGCTTCACATTAACTATTCAGCTAATGCTCCTGCCTTGTAAAACCTTTATAAAGGCAACTAAGCTCTTCTGAAGGAGGAAACTCTGAAAGAAAACAACTTGCTGGTTGAATACCACAAAAACAAACAACGAGAAACCCTCACTTTCTTCTATGCTTACTCAGTCTCTTTATATAAAAATAAGTGTTATGTTTCCATCAGAACATTAGACAATTACACCTGTGCTTAAAAAAAAATTGGTCACTCAAGGCTATTAGAGTATTTTAAAGAGTTTAGATTTCCAGAATGTACAGATAGTAACTCAATATAAACTGCAGCCAGAGAGAAACGAGGATGAACATATCAAATCTTTCACATGGATACAAACGTTAATAACTAGATGAGTTAAATACTCAAAATATATGGAATGTGGTGGTAGATATATGCACATCTACCTCAGAACTAGGAAGGGCAAGAAAAGTTTAATATGTCATAGTTCGTACCTTACATTTAGTTAAATATAAACATTTGTTATTTATACATAAAACTGCTTTCAAAAAACAACTAATACATGATTTAGTTGCACTTGTTCTATCTTTTTTAATTTCCAAGTATTAACTTTTCTGTACTGAAACCTGTTCCTTAGTGCACTTTTTAGTTAATGTCTTAAAAAATTCAAATCTTTAAAAAGTCCCGTCACCTAGTGCATAAATATAAAAATGCCAAAATTAATCCCTTTTAGTTGGATCATATTCTATGTTGACCTTTTGTAGTCAATACTAGAAATGACATTTTGCTGCCAATGATCTATGATGTGTCCCAGAACATGCCACGCACTCAGGAAAACATCAGGCATGGCAAGCATCTGTAAGTCACAAGAACTGATGAGTTCTGCTTCCTCCACGCATGGCCCCAATGAACCAGGCAAGATTCCATACTGCCTGCCAACAGCTTCCACAAATCCAAGTTAGCTAATTCCTGGAGATGAAGATTTTAAGCTCCTGCTGGCCCTGGACTGCTTCACCCAGCAGCCTTATGTTTCCCACCACAGCACCCACATGCCTCACCACAGCGATGGCACATTCTCAAAGGGACGTAGCAGCACATACATGGTACAATAAAGGACAGCGCTACCAGGGCTAACCATCTTAGGCAGAACTTGTCATCACTAGTGTCACATGAACAAGGGTGAGAAAAGTCTCCCTCCGAGTCTGACATACAATGATACAGCATGCTCTCTGCACAGAGCATGCAACTAACTTGATATATGCATCTTCTAACAGGATCTGGAGCATCCTGGCATTTCCCCCTGCCATTTTCTTCATGATTAAACCTTTCCTGGCAGTACACGCAGCGAGAACGTTCCCCATCCTCTTTTCTTCGTTTTGACTTACATTTTAATGAGGGAGGCTGTGTCTTAAATACCACAGAGTCTTTCAGGGAACTTAACTTAGTTTCATCTCCACAGTGGTAGAGATAGTCTGATTTTTTACTGTCTTGTTTAGAAAATGGAATATTGGAGTCAGTATCATCTCTCTCCAAGTCATTTTTCCACATGTCCGGATGTCTGTAGTCTGCATACCGACGTATTAAGATATCTCGAGGATTTATTCTGACAATCTCATCCTCATCTTGAAAGCTGACGTGTCTGATTGACTTCAAAGGGACCTAGACAAGATGAAAATTGCATAAAGGACTCTGACAGTTAATTTTATTTCAGTTTGGTGGAGCAACCCTATCGAGGGACCCATTCAAGGAGCTCCATGACAAAGTTTTGGATGAGATCAACACTTCACCTGGTGAACCATATCCAATCAGATAATACCTAAAAACTAAAACTATCTCCCTGCATGGCAAGAAATTCTGCCATTAGAACTTTGTACTCAGGCTCCAATTTTCCCCCATCTCCAACCTAATGATTTATCTGTAGATTTTGGGCTTTTATTTCTCTCCAGTACCGAGATTGAACCTAGGGCCTTGTGTCTGCTAGGCAAGCTCTCTACCATTGAGTTATACCAACTAACTCTTTGCACTTTTTATCTTGAGACAGGGTTTCAACTAAGCTATCCAGACTGGCCTTGTGTTCTCTTTCCTCTTGCCTCAGTTTCTTGAGTAGCTAGGCATACCGGTCTGTGCCATGAGATCTGGATTAGACTTTGGGTTTGTATCCCATTACTGTATGAGCCAATTCCTTAAAACAGAAGATCTACTGATTTTGTTTTACAGATTTTTAGTGCCAAGAAGATGGTTGCAACTCTCGTATCTTTAAAAATGTAGAAACGGGTAAAGATTGCTGACTAGAATGATACATGTCAGAGCCTCAGAGAAACCACTGGTAGAAATATGTTTATAAAGTCCTCCTGGTAGGGACTCAGACTGAAACCAGAACTCATTACTGGACACTGGGAGAAAGAAAATGTAAATGACAAGATCGATCATGTTTGGTACATTTGGAAGGTAGAACTTGGACGTAACAATATTTAGCAGACGTGCTGAAAGTGTGGCAGTTTTCTCTTTGCTGCTTTTAATATCATGTGTGAATGGCAGGTAAGTGTATGTGTGCATGTGTATACGCACACGCACAATGGTGAAGAACTTGTTAAGCAAAGTGGAACTCGAAAGTGGATAATTCCCAGTGTAATTTTATTGCAAACAATAGGGAAGTAGAAGGATTCATAGAGTCCAGCATGGACTAAAGAGGTAGGGCAGGGCAGGATGAAGAAAAATGTTCAAGCCGGGCGGTGGCGCACGCCTTTAATCCCAGCACTTGGAAGGCAGAGGCAGGTGGATCTCTGTGAGTTCGAGGCCAGCCTGGTCTAGAAGAGCTAGTTCCAGGACAGGAACCAAAAGCTACAGAGAAACCCTGTCTCAAAAAAATCCCCCCCCCCCAAAAAAGTTCAATCTCTGGGTCTCTACAAAACAGATCAAGAGTGCTGTGTGGCTACAGGCATACTCCATCCTTTCATTAAGAAGCCTGACTCTGAAGACAGGGCTGAGGTATGTTCCCACAGTTTAAGAGGGAAGGCAAATCTTTTACTGCAGTAGACCATGCTATCTATGGTATTCTATGACCCTGATGGCAATGCTGATAACTAGAGTGAAGGGGAAGCAGAGAAGACCATCAACTCAATAGGGCAAGAAGAGACAAACACAAAATCAAAGATGATTAATTCCAAGTCCATAAATAAATTAAGTGAACTGCTTTTTATTAGAGTTTGGCATCTTCATTTCAGTTCTCAATTCTGTAATGGGACTCTCTATTTCTACTCTATATATTCCCTGACACTGTATTCTAGAAGCCATCGTCTGTCTGGTTCAGAGAGGCTCACAGCTGGAGAGGAGTTTTGTTTCAAGACGAATCATTCCCCAGGGTCACCATACTTTGTTGAGGTGACAGTTCAAGACTTGGGAATTAGCACAGATGCTGGAGTGGGACAAACCCTTCAGGACTCTTGGATGGAGATGTATATTATTCTCTGTGTGAGAAGGGCATGTGAAGGCCAGAGTGTAGAGTGAAGGATGCTGTGTACTAAATTAACAACCTAAGTTCCTGTTTTGTCCTACCTGGTGATATAGATTCAAAAGCCACTCAGACTGAAGAGAGCTTATGTATAAAGACATAGTAGATGCATACTGAATAAGTCTCATGTACATGGATGCTGAACCAAGAGATAAACGAACATTACTTACCCTATTTTGGGACTTTAGGCTCCCACACTCCTTAGATAATTGCCGCTGTACATATTCCATACTTCGGCTCTGAATGTCTAGGCCTTGCTGACTGAATGGTATCTAAAATTTCAATGATTTCTATTTTAAGTGGCAGCAGTATGAATTTCCTACTTTTAACAAAACCAAGTAAAACATACATTTCAATACCTGATAGGTTGTAAAATCACGTCTAACCAGCCCCTCCCATCAAACACATTAAAACCCTATTTTAATAAAATGCAGAATTGTCCTGGAGATAATAGCTCAGGAGTTAAGAATACTTGTTACTCTTAACAGAGGACCTGAATTTGGTTCCTAGCACCCACATAATGGTTCACAGCCATTTGTAATCCAAGCTGTTTTCTGGCCTTCACAGGAATCAAACATATTATGTACGTTTCCTGTGCACATATGTTGTGCATCACATATGCAGGCAAAATACAGAAATATTTTTTTAAAAATAAAGAAAAGCAGAATCACTTCTTCCCTATTTTATTCTTGGAAAGAATTTTTGTTGTTATAAAAATGCATTTAAATTTAATTTGTCAAGTAACATCTTGCACCAAACAATCCAATCCCCCTGCAAAAGAATACCGCTACTAACAACAATTAACAAAAAAGCAAACAACATAGAAGATAGGTATGGTGGCCCATGCCTGTAACCTCAGTACTTTGGAGTCTGAGATAGGAAGATCACTGGAGCTTAAGGATAACCTGGACTACAAAATTAGAGTTCTAGTCCAGTCTAGGCTACAAAGTAAAATCCTGTCAAAACAACAAAAATAGGAGGGGGAAAGATGCAACCCAAGAATCTATCAATGGCTGCCTGTAAATACACAACACAGCAGGCCAGGAGATGGAGCATCTGAGTGTGTCAAAACAGGGCTGCTAAGAGCAAAAGAGGCAGGGTTGGGGAAGGATAGGACAATAATCACAATGAGTTTTCTGGAGTGATGGAAATACTATGGAACTGAATAGTAGTGACTGCCCAACCTTGTAAATATATTAAAACACCAAAAAAAGGAAGAATTTATGGTATATGAATTATGTTTTGTAAAAAAATCATGAGAACAGTCAGTCCTGATAAGATTTCTTAGCTTGAGTTGTAAAGAACATTTAAGAACTGAAGATTATGGTTAAAATTTTATCAGTTTACTTTCTAGAATTTTATAGTTAAATTAAATATACAGAAATAATAAAGGATATAATGAATTCCCATGTTAATCATTATCAGTATTTCAGTGGTTCTATATTCTATTGTTCTACTGAGACATTCTGCTCCAAACCCTGATACACTTAATCAAAGTGTAATTTGAAAATAGCAACACCCGTTCTATATGAAGTATGAGTTTTATAGGTAGAACATATAAAAATTCAGTAATTAACAGAGAAAGGGACTACTATGGATTAAAAGTTCTGGTAAGACTCCATGAAGGAAACACAGAATAAACTATTTGTTAAACTAAAACAATAATAAATGGAGGAGCATTATAGAGAAGGAAATAAGAGTGAAACGTCTTTGCTTAATATAATGACCTCTAGTTAAATAGTAAGTATATACAGTCTTAATGGCCAGGGATTATAGCTCTAGGGTAAAGGATTTGCCTAGCACACACAAAGCCCTGGTTTCAATCCACAGTGCTAGAAGAAAACAAAGCCCCAAATATCCTGAATATTTATTTTATTTTATTCTAGGAGTAGACTTTTAAAAGTAAAAATGCCTATTTTCACTTATTATCCCTATTTTACTATCTCAAGTCACATATACACACCCCATATAAACACATACACATTCTGCAACTATTCAAGTTAATGAATCAATAATGCCTATTGTTCTCTCATGTGCTCTCTAAGTAAAAAGACAAATGGACATTTATTTTTAGGCTCATTTAACAAAGCTGTTAAAATACACACCTCAAGTGCTGCTTTTGAAAACACTGAGAATACATGCTATTTCTATTATCTTTAGGATAATTTATCAGCTCAAAAGCCAGAAGATACTTTTTCAAAGGGATTCCACTAATAATGGCAACAAAATGGTACAAAGGAATAAACTTGACGTCCCCCTCCAAAAAAAAAAAAATCAATTCAAAAATCAAACACCACCAGTGTGGGATGATTCTGAAAGCACTTGTCCACATCAGCACTTCACTGCAGCCCCGAGTCTTAATTCACACAAGCCAACTTTGTATGGTACATGCCTTCACTTCACGCCAAGGGGCACTGCCTGAAACACTCTGGCTTAGATCCAAGACTGTGTATTATGAATGGCAGTATTTACTGTACATAAGACTTTCTGCATTTACAGAATCATAATGATTTAATTATAAATTGGGCCTTATGATTTTATTTTCCTGCTGTCATTCCTCAGCAAGAACCAGAAGTCTATCTTTAGATTGTACTGTTAGAGTATTTTATTTCAAAAGTTGCTGTCTTATGAGTTTCATCAAAAAAAGGCAAAATTGTGGTAAAGGATCGATTAGGAGATTTATCTCCAAATTTCTGAAATGGCTCTAAACATACACCTGCTATTTTGTATTTGTAAGAAGTGGCATTCTCAGTATCGACAGTTACAAATCAAAATATTGATCAATTCAAAAAATTTTAAGACACACAATATTTTGTCAGAGTATTAAATACTCAGGCAAGAGTTAATTTCATGTTTATAAGTGTTTTGTCTATAAATACATACATATATATATATATATATGTTTTATGCATCATGTGTCTGGTGCCTGTAGAGGCTAAAACAGAGCATTGGATCCCCTGAAATTACACTTGTGGGTCCCCATATGGGCTCTTGGAATAGGACTGGGTCCTCAGGAAGAGCAACCAGTGCTCTTAATCACAGATCATTGGCTCATTTATATAAAAATCTTATTAGCGCACAAGTTGCATTTGTTTCTGGTAAATAGTGAATTTAAATATTGCCAAGGAGGTATTTTAAAGTAAATTTCTAAGTTATCACTTGTATACCTATTTTATATCCATACATACCCGTGGTCACACAAATTTTCTTATGCAAAGAGGGGTTTAAAAAGGGCTGGATCTGTTATGGAGTCTTTTACAGCATATCAACATCAAATATTCACCTATGCACTCCCTAAGAAACTCACACATGTGAATAGCTGAAGGAAAGAACTACCGGCAATAAAAATGCCTGGCAGAATAAAAAGAGCCAAGTGTAGAGATCAAGATAAGCAGAACACTAAGCACATAAAAACCAAAGTAACAAAGGGTAAAGGTAAGGGACAGGCTGGGATGCTCCTGCGTTATAGGGTGGTTTCTTGGATGCTCTTACATTTCACAAACCTCTGGTAATGACCTCAACTCATAAACACTATCTTGTTCATGGTTAAATGACTGCCATGAACTTCAAAGAAAAGCATATTATGACTTAACATCTTGAAACAATGTACTTATCTATAGAAACAATTTAAACTGCCCATGAAACACTAAGGGAGCCAAAGAAAAAGTGACAATTATGTAAGTATTTCTGAAGGGAAGATGATAAGCTACCACTGGAAACAATTTTCCACAGACCTATTTCTGCAAATCTACTGAGTATGTACATTGTCTATCTTTGTTTCAGGCCTTTTCAGGGATATACGCTAATATAATGAATCTTCTAAAAGATAAAATGCTCTCTCTCTCTCTCTCTCTAAAGGCAGGATTGCTTAGTACCCAAAGAAAAGAAGACATAAGTAAAATAGGCTGGTTACAGTCTTGACTTCCTGAAGTTCAAGGTTTTGTTTTAATTTTTAGAATTTCATATAAATTCATATATATTCTTCTCTTCTTCCAATTCCTTCTGTGTCTTCTGCTACTCCCAACTTAAATTCTTGGTCTCTTATTCTTTAATTATTATTGTTACAAGTACACATATAAATTTAGAAATACAACTAGCTGAGTCCCTTTGGTATTTTTCATGTGTTTGGGATTAGCTCAGCAGGGCCTCATTCCTGAATTCTCCTTCTTTCAGTAGCCATTAACTGTCTATAACTCTTCATCTAGAAGTGAGTCCTTGTGAGAAATCCCCTACGTTGGCATGTCAACTGGTGTTCAGTTTTCTTGCTTAGGCAGCTATGTTGTTGAGAGTTCACAGGTGCAGCTTCCCTCTCATATACAAAAGTTACTATCTCACAGTACAGTGGATGTAGTAGTTTTCTAGCTCGTTAATCTTTCTTCCATGTTCCCCAAGCCCTAATTATCTAAGTTGTGTTTGTATTGTAGCTGTTCAGTTATAGCAAGGCACACTATGGCCAGCTAGGCTCTGCATTCTGACCAGTTGGGGTTTTCTGTGACGGTCTCTGTCTGCTGCAAAAAGAAGCTTCTTTGATAAGGGCTGAGAGAAATTAAACTGGTTTAGGAAAGTGGCAGGAGGGGGCTCTCCTCTAGAGTCTATGACTTTACCAGCCACAGAGAATTCCCTCCTATTCAGTAGACCCAATGTCCAACAATGTGTAACTGTTGGCTACCCACTGAATATAAGCATCACTATTGCATCTTTCAGAATATTCTCATCATTATGAGGGTGCTACAACTGGGTAGGCCTACTAATTACTTTTCTCCCTTGGCAGCTTGAATAGCTCCTTCAAATACTATGAGAGCAAGACCACTTTGTACATCTTGAGCAAACACCGGCCTGACTTTAGGAAACAACATGAAAATGAAGGCTATGGCACTACACTGTACTGAGAAATAAGGTTCTTTGTGTCTGACCAAACAATCTTGTCTTTTGGAGGAATCTATAAACAAAATATATAAGCAGCTAAATTTGGCAGCTAAGTAAGGTAACATTCTAGACCTTATAGTTCAACAAGGCAGCTGTCCAGCCCTTTTGAAAAGCTAGCTTCTCTGTTGTAGAAAAGGATCTGTTAAGCTAACTCTGAAGCAGGCAAATAAATATCCAAAGCATATTAACTCCCCTGCTGAATACTTAAAACTCCAGTGGCCCATTTCATGACCTATTGCATGTAAAGCCTGTGCTAAGATGAGCTTCCACTGCTTCTAAAGTCCTTCTTTAAATTTTGCATTCTGATTTTTATGTAGCATTTCCTTAATCTCAAGTCTGAATCTTAGAAAAGGGACTTTAATTCTAGTTATTTTGAAAAACAAAATAAGGTATCTGCTCTACAAACTAAGAGTCAGATTCTGTACTGTGAGGAACTGTCCATGTTGCCTTTCATATTATATCCAAATACAAATGGTATGGAATCCCAACACCAACACGCCGAACAGACTGTTTTACTCTTGGTAAGTATGAAAATACCATCAATAAACTCTCAATTTTTGGGCTGGAGAGATGGCTCAGAGGTTAAGAGCACTGGCTGCTCTTCCAGAGGTCCTGAGTTCAATTCCCAGCAACTATATGGTGGCTCACAACCATCTGTACTGAGATCTGGCGCCCTCTTCTGGCGTGCGGGCATACATCGAGGCAGAATGTTGTATACATAATAAATAAATAAATAAATCTTAAAAAAAAAGTCTGTATGTTAAAAAAGAAAAACTACTAAAACTGTTGCTTGCTTTATAAATGGGGACACTCTACCCTGTCTCACAAGTGCCTAACAGGGTGTCAGGGCAGAGTCAAGAGCAGAGGGAAGCTCCCTCTCTATTNGAGGCAGAATGTTGTATACATAATAAATAAATAAATCTTTAAAAAAAAAATAAATAAATAAACTCTCAATTTTGTATATTGCCCCTTAACAATGTATAGCTTTAAAGGAAACAAATACATCACATTTAATTCCTACTAAATTCCTATCTATCTTTGTCTATAATCTTGGAGATCAGGACACATTAATGATAAGAAACTAGGAATAATACTATTTATTTAATAAAATACTTTCCCTGGATGCTTTCTTTTTTTTTTCTTTTTTTTGTTATCATTGTTTCAAGCTTCTAGAGGTAGATTCTGGTATTACCCAATTTATAGACAAACTAGGAAGATTTTTGTAAGGCATTTACCTAACAAAGGTTCCCAAGTTATGTAAAGAATATCCCTTCAAATCAGTAGGAAAAGGCCAGACAACCAAATGTGAGACATGCAACATTTTTGTTAAGAGAATTCCTAAGTGGTTAATAAACACAAGAAAACACACCAGCAACCAGGGATATAAAACTTAAAATCAAATAAAATACTACTTATTTCTACCTAGTGACTATTTCAATATAAAACAAAAAAGGTGGAGTAATACCAAGTGTCCCAGGAAATGCCAACTCCCTGTATGAATGGCGAATGGGAGGATTACTTCAAACTGTTGTTTTTGAGTAAAATTGACAATCCATAAAAATGTTCTGTGTTTTGTCCCTGGTTTCTTGTATAACCCAGTACATAACTATGTACCCAAGTTTGTGAAAAACATCCTAGATAAAATCCAAGGTATTTTTCACAGTATGAACATTAAATAATCTGGTGCCACTCTCTGCTTCTTTTCCTTTGTTTCTAATATGTGTGGTTGTCTACCAGATGACATACACACACATGCCCATGGTGCTCTCTGTAATGGAGACTGCATATCTCTTCTGGAAATCAAATGTGGAATTTCTGGTCTCCTATATAATAGTTATTTAGAGACAGGCCTTTGGCTGATAGTTAGGTCATGAAAACAGATCTCCTAATCAGACAGAATAGTGTCCTTCTTAGGGCTACCAGATGTTTTTATTTTTATTGTTCCCAGCCAAGTGGGGACATGGCAAGAAGGTAATTGGCCGGCTAGGAAAAAAGGCCCTTACAAAAGCCAGTCCAACGCCCTGTAATCTCAGCATTCTAAATGTTAGAGCTGTAAGATTAAAACAAACAAAAAACCTTGCTGTTTGAGCTACCCAGTTCATGTCGTCCCACAACACCTTGAACTAAGGTACTCATTCCCTGTCTGCAGCACTCTTCCTCCACATCCCTGTGCCCTTTTACAGAGATTACATTAATTTGTCTATGGACATACCACCCTGAATGCACCCAATCTCATCTGACTACCATTAACTGTAAATCAATACCCTTTCTTGGTTTTGTTTGTTTTTAACCTGGTAAAGATTAGAGGGTCTTGGTGGTCTTCTGTAGCACAACAGTTTCTCTATATATGACATATATATGTATGAATGGTACGCATTTTCTTACCTGGCTGCCTTGGCTTTGCAAGTAGACTCTTCTGGCATTCAGATCTTCAAAGGGTAAAGGTCTTATGTCTGAGCTTCTGTAAGGCTCACTGGTAACCACTGTCTCTTGCTGGAAAAGGTGATCTTTTACTAAGGAACGAGAAGTGTCCTCTTCAGTGGTCTGATGGGAGCAACAACACAGAACAACACTTCAGCACAATCAGTAAGTCTATGCCATTAACATCGCCATGAAAGGCAATTCCCTGAACTCAAAAGTACATGCCAAAATATGAAGAAATTTAGAACACTTAAACTTCATGACTACAGACCTCATTAAAAATAACTCAGAAGAAACGAAGATACAATGATAAAGCCTTTAACTACACTGAGTAGTTTAAATACATAAATGACAAAGAAATTAGGAGGAAAATACAAATAAATATAACAATTTGCAAATTAAAAATAAAAAGCACACAGTACAAGCTATAAAGATGATAAAGAGAACAAAAATATGAACAACAGTGGTCCATGAACAGAAACATGAGCACAGTGGTCCATGAACAGAAACATGAGCACAGTGGTCCATGAACAGAAACATGAACACAATGGTTCGTGAACAGAAACATGAGCACAGTGGTTCGTGAACAGAAACATGAGCACAGTGGTTCGTGAACAGAAACATGAGCACAGTGGTCCATGAACAGAAACATGAGCACAGTGGTCCATGAACAGAAACATGAGCACAATGGTCCGTGAACATAATCATGAGCACAGTGGTCTGTGATCATGTTTAACTTGCTAAAGACTTACAGACACTTAAACCACCAATCACCACAGACTTAGAGAGGGCATATACTCAACTAGTGATAGTCATTTAAGACATTTCAAAATATCGCAAACAAAAATATCTGTAAAATAGATGTTACATGAGCGAAATATAGCAACTATAAAACAAAGTCCTGGGTTTTTCCATTTCTTTGCAGTGTAGATTAAACTATTTGCTACTGTCTCCATTATGTGTAATTATTTGAGAAAAGATTTTGACAGTCAAGTAGAAATGGCTGAATACTGTCACTGACTCAAATTATTACTCAAACTATCCTAAACTAATTTAGAACAATCATTATAGTGTTAGCGAATTTCGAGGTACAAGATGTATACTTTCTTTCTTAAATAAGTTTTGAAGAGTTTTTTAATGCTACTTCTAAAATAAACAAGTAAATTACATAAACTGACCAGGATCTTTTAAATTTATAATTTATTTATTATAATAAATAAAATCTTTGCTCTAGAACCACAGTCTCTAGTCATTAATTTCTCCAGAATTCACTTTTCTAAATTATAAAATAACTGTAACATCTAGTGAAAAGCAGTTATTACACCAGGAACCAAGCAATTAAAGTTTGAAATATACACAAGGACCCACTGCCAAGTAAAGCCAACTATGTCAGACCTGGTTAACTCACATTGTGACCTAATTCTCCTCAGAGTTGTCCCAGACTAGCATGATGATTAATGCTAAACTACTGAAAGAAGTTGGCTAAACACTGTTATTCAGCAAACATTTTCTGTCAAAATACATTTAAAAATTGGGAAGAGCAAAAAAGAAAAAAAAAGAAACCTATCTGTTGAAGACCTTCAAAAACAAACCACTAAGTCGCTCACAAACTGAATATAGACAATGTAAAAAAGGACCTTAGAAGCTTTGATTCACTCGTTAAAATAGGATGTAAATTAAAACGTTCAACCAACTTTTTACTATAAATTGGGTATAGTCTCAGTCTTAGAGCTGGCTGGGATACTCATAAGATAGAAATTTAAATAAGCATTAGTTGCATCAACAAAAGATAAGGTAATGATATCTTTAACAATAACTTCTTTTACTAAAATATAGTCTAATTGAGAAATCGTTTAGTAATTCTAAATGAAAGCTGGGCATGTAGCTTAGGATACCAGCACTCACTTAGCATGAGCAAAGCCCTGGGTTCCATCCGCAGCACAGCAAGGAAGCAACAAAACTTTTTTGTCCAAAACAACAAGCTTTACTTAAAATATGTATCTGAACAAAACAAAACAAAACAAAAAACAAAAAAAAAAAAAACGGTTTTACAGCCCAGTACTACTATGCTGACGTGGCTAGAATTCTGTGCTTCTGTGAGTAGAGCAATAACAATTTATAAGGATACATTTAAATGGGTCTCAGCCAATAAAATAACTAAGGAATCATTTAGATGAGAAATGACCAGTGTTTGAAAGTGCTATCCATATGATGTATAATAAAGCATGTTATTACTTATACTATTATGAAAATCAAACTAACATTTCAGACAATTCTGAACCAAGAAAAGTTTATTTTTATGTTGTTAATCTCTTTAAAAAAAAGGACTAAGCGTTTACCCTTACTTTTGATAAAAAAAAATCTTAATTTTTAAAATACAAATATACTCTACCAGTAAACCAGTCACTTTTTAAAAAGTGTAATGTATCTTTTCCCTCTCACCTAATATAAAAGCATTACAATATTCTTCACCTTTGCCTGAGATTTCTAGACTGATGCAGAGCAACTCTCTATGTCTATAAAATGACTTTGTAAACATGTGACCTTCCCATCCACTTTCCGATCTATTTTCTCTTCTCTATACCCATTGTCTGCCTGAAAGCCCTATCTCATGTTAGTGTGATTCCAACCGATCTTTTCAGACTCTGGCTCACCATTTTTCATTAAGACTTTTATTTTTATACTCAAAGTCTTACTAAAAGCCCACGCTACCAAGGCTGTAAGAAACTGGGCACATGCTATCATGGCATGGATGAGAACCAGAATCCTCAGAGCATCCTCCTAAGTGACTACACAGTCCACAGGAATGCACTGCAAAGTTTAATTTTATCTGATAAACAAACAAGTACACTATACTGTACTTGCTCAAGAATTTTATCCTTGAAGTTATCACAAATTAGCTTTGAATAATGTGTGGCTGGATGATATTCGACAAGACAAAACCTTAATTATTAAGTATATATACATATAGTAGTTGAAATTGTATACTCAGATTTTGTGACCTTATAAAGTACAAAAAAGTTCCATAATTCTTTTGCCCTAACATAATCACAAACATATTTATAGTACCAGCTCATTGTAGAAATGAGCTGCAATCAATTCCTATTCTAGTCAACAGATCCTTCAGGGAAATGTTTGGTTAAGAATAAACTAATCCCCTCAGATACACCCTTTTCTCTGAAGACAGGGTCTCACTAAAATATGTAGCCCTGGCTGTTGTGGAACTCATTATGTCATCTAGACTGGCCTTGTACTAACATAGATCTGTCAGTCTCTTGCTATCCAGGGCTAATGCTTCCCATGATCCCCTTAAGTTTTTAATCCTGCCTCCCACGGTTCCCTTAGGTTTTTAATCCTGCACTTTTTTGAGAGTTTTGTCTAAAACACCATTAGTATATAATATTCTACTTAAGCAACCTCAATGAAATAACTGATGAAATAGTAAAGAAAGAAGGAATGTCAAGACATATCTGCAGAAAATACATCACAGAAAAATCAGTCCGTGTCCTGGCTTAGATAGCAGAAAAAACATTCCAACGAAAAGTTAATTTGGCCTCAAGGTACTTTTAAGTTTGTAGAGATTCTTTACTGTTTGTAGATACAGTCTTGAGACAAGGAGCAGTAAATCCCTTTTTCTTTCTTTTTTGATTTTTTTAAGACAGGGTTTTTCTGTAGCTTTGTAGCCTGTCCTGAAACTCGCTCTGTAGACCAGGCTGGCCTTGAACTCACAGAGATCCACCTGCCTCTGCCTCCTAAATGCTGGGATTATAGGGGTGTGCCGCCACCACCTAGTTATTTCTTAAGTAACAACAATGTTTGTGATCACAGCTATAAAAGACACCAGAAGTCAAACATGAACAAGATGAGATTTTAAACCAAAATAATGGACCTGTTCTCAAACTATTCAAAGATACTTGAGAAAGAAGTAAATTCTCCCTGGTAGCTCATGGCAAATGATAGAGACACTAAATTGATGAGAACAGAAAGGTGTTCTGCCACCAAATACTCTTCTATCTAACAATTATGGCAAAGAATGGGATCTTACTCTCTGTGGATAAATTAATGAATATTCAAAATGAGATTTCTGCTCTAACATTTAATCCTTTCAAATTTGACAAGTTTGTTTTCAGCTTAGTAGAAGTAAAAACAGTTTATATGCTCTGCTTTTAAACTATATTCTAGCTGTCTTTACAAATGACGGTCAAAAAGCAACACATGGGCTAATGAAATGGTTCAGTGGGTAAAAGCTCTTGCCTCAAATTCTGATGACCTGAGTTCAACCCTTAGAACCCACATGCTGGAAGGAATGACTTCCAAAAGTTGTCCTCTGACTTCTACAAGTGTGCTGAGGTGCATGCTCCCTATTGCTCTCCCCCCCACACACACACAATCTCCCACGTACCCAATCACTTATTCTCCAAAACTCTGGCATATCTGTCACTAGATAAACTATAGAGCATTAGCGTAAATTTAAGAATTCTCTTTCACAGTTTTAATCCTGGACAGACCTTAGAATAGTGTAATTGGTGGGGGGAGAGGAGGAAAAATAATGGTTACTCTACTCTTCCAGAGGACCTGGTGTGGAGGGGGACATCCTATTCCAAGCACCTAGATGGAGACTCACAACCACCTGTGACTTCAGTTCCAATGCATCTGACTCCCTCTTCTGGCACTGCTTGCACATGGTGCTCAAACATCCACACACATAAAATACAAATAAGAACTCTCTACTCATGTTAAGGAAGTTAGCGTCTCTGTTCATACAACTGTTTGCTATAAAAGACATCTCCACAAAACTCAGCAGCTTAAACAACTTCACAACATAAATTGAGTCAGAAATTTGGGAACAACATAGATGTACAAAAGTAAATAATCTCTACAAACTTAAAAGTACCATTAAGTCAAATTTTTTCAATGGAGTGTTCTTCTGTTGTACAAGTCACATTTAAATCAATCAAATGAGTAAAGGAGATTCCCCTCAGTGTGTGAGATGATGTCCTGCAGAGAAAGGACTAGGGGTCTGAAAACCCAGCTCAATGCTGCAGAATGAATCTGACCAGCTTCCATCATGCCAGCCTGCTCGCTTCAGACTTCAGATCTCTACAACTTTATGAGTCAATTCCTTATACAAAATAAAATTCTCTAGGCAGTGGTTCCCTTTAATCAGGAAGACCTAGGTAAATAATATTATCTTTGAAATTTGTGAGTTAACATGAATGCTAATGATTTTCTAAACATGTTAATGTTTTGAAACCCCTTTCAAGCCAAACTACTTACTTGTAAATCGTCTTCTCCTTCAGCCTCATTTTTTGATGCTGGGCACCCTAAAATAAGAGGTCAAAGTTAATAAAGCATATATATATCCCCCTAGATTTCCATATTAAAGGTTGACAATATCATTATAAAGATCAGAGATTCATTTCTAGGTTGCCTGGTTACAGATTCAAATACCAGACACTTGTATTTGTTCCTGTTAGAATAATAAAATGACTTCTTCCATCATCTCTTGGCAAATTTTCATTTACTTTCTTTTACAGCTAAGCAGACTTGTTATATTCTATTTCTCTGGTTGTTTAAGTGATGTCAAAATGTGATTAATTTAGTATTTAAATAGTCTGATCCAGGAAACACAAGCATCCAAAACCAAGATTTTAGTTGTTCAGGTTAAAAAAGAAGTCAAACTTGACTTACTATGGAGAGTCCACTGATTAACTTGTGTGTATATCCATGTCTGCTTAGGCTTTTATGGTGTTGAGTGTCTTTAGTTACAATAAATTAATACAGAATGACATGCAGTAGTAGAGTACATGTCATTTATGTTCTAGACATAGCTAGCATGAAGCAGCATGAGATGAAAAGAAATGTGGTCCTTGTAAAAAGTAGTTTATTTTTGGGGATAAAAAAAGTAACAGAAATTTAGTAAGTTTAGAGAACTTTGATGAGGAGGAGGAGGATATTAAATTTTTAACAAGACAGGCTGAATACAGCAACAGTAACCTGGTGAGGCAAGTGAGCATTTCCTCCTTAAACATAAACTGGCACAACATTGTGAACCTCACTTACTCCATCTTAGAAAAAGAAGTATTCTCGTACAAGGGCATTTAAACCTGTATTCATACAGGTTTAAAAAAAAATCAGCTCAAAACTTAAAATATATTACTTTAATCTAATGAGTTATGAATAATGATTTTTCTCTTTAAATTATTTGTTTTATAAAATTTAGGCAAACAATTAGAATCAACTGGGCAGCTTTAGAAAATATGCCAAAATTAACCAGCTTCACACACTTATCAAAACATACTCAGTATTAAGCATTTTCAAGCTCATCTCTAGTTTTCTCCTAAGTAGTTTATATCTTCAAATTCCTCTAAATTACCACCTTGCACTTCCTACTTTCTGTCTGCTTGCTTTTCCATACAGTCTCATTATACAGCCCAACCCAGGAAGAGCTTGAGCTCTCAACTATCTGCCTCTGTCCCTGAGCACAGGGCTAACAGTCACGTTTGACCACACTGACGTTTTAGTATTATTAAAGGTTTTATCCTTCTCAATTAGAAAAAAAAATATTGGTTATTATCTCCTATGGGAAGAGATGGGCTTAAATATCATCTTCTTTTGTTTAAGCAAACACATCAGAACTATGGGAAAATACATTCTCCATTTAGAATCTCCATGTTTGGGGCTGACCATCATTTAACAAACCGGTAAGATATTAAAGGGGACAGATGAGATTGTGGCCTCTGCCAAATCTCAAGAAGACCACAGAGTTTTATAACTGAGTATCTAGAATCTAGATATATATGAATATTACAAGGTTTCTTTCTATCTCATTAAAGAGAAAAGAGTGTAATATTCCGGGACACAGACTGCTGACAGGCTCTTCACAACACCACCTTCACATGGTATCAAATGCGACTGGACAAACATAAAGAAACCAAGCAGCCTTCTCACTACTCATTACTCTTTACTTACTATGTGTGGGCACGTTAACAGACAACCTTACTTGATTAAAGGACACAACTACTTTAGGTCAACATCAAAGAAAGAATAAACATTTACTACTATCTATATATAAGGTGTAAACATTCAGAAAATTACAAAAACAAAAACACCCTACCTTGAGAAATATCCTCTATAGCTCTTCGAATGCCTCCATCGAAAGCCCCGGCATCTGCAGGACTCTGAAAGGTAAGGCCGAACTTCTTGTCGTCGATCTTCCAGTGGTGAAATGTGGGAGTGACCTTGTTATAAACGAGGTCTTTTTTAAGCATACACTCCAAAACCACCTGCCAAAAGTCAGGTGCCAAAGTTAATGAACACACAAAATGCGTCTAATGTAGCTTTGACATAAACACTGAGGACTAAAAATACAACGAGCGTTTTTAAATAAAATGAGCTACTGAATGTAATCTTCACAAAGTCAACTTAATAAAGGGACTGAGGAGATTGTAAACAGAATGTGGATTATGCTATCATTTAAAAGAATAAACACTTATTCTGCATACAAAATTTCTAATAGAATATACTTAAAATTGTTTTTGAGAAAGCCTGGGAAAAGAGACACAACAGAAGTGGTAATAACAATATGACTTTTAAAAACCACTCTCCCCCTTTCTCCTTGTGTTTCTGGGTATCTAACAAGCGCTCCACCATTAATTGCATCTTCCAGCCATTCCTCTTCTACTTTCTTAAGAGACCCATTACAGAAGCAGATCTAATACTTGCCATTTTAGTAGCTTGGTTATTGGTTATAAAACTTTTTCCCCCTTTGTGACAAGGTCTCACTGAGTATGTCTGACTGGACTGAAACTTCCTAGGGAGACCAGGCTGGCCTCAAGCTCACAGACGGCCTGCCTCTGCCTCCCAAGTGCTGGGACTAAAGGCGTGTGCCACCATGCCTGGCACTGGGTTGCTAACTTCTCAAAGCTCTAGCTTCCTCTTTTGAAAATAACAGCATTAAATACATCCTATAAATTTGAATGAAAATTTCATGTAATTTGTGGGATAATGCAGCTTTGTTTCTTCATATTTTATTTTTTTCTGAAATGGTTCAGGGAAGTAACAATAATAGGTAAAATGACTTCCTCCCTTTTACTTGGGTTATCTATTTTTAATATCCGCTCTATACATCCTAATGTATACAATTTTTATTTTATTTAATTTCTGTTTGTCTATTTTTGCAGTGCTGGAAATTGCATTTAGGGCCTCACACATGATAGGCAAGTGGTCTACCATTGAGCTACATTCCTAGTCCAACATTTTTGCTTATTTTATTCTGAACTGTACCAAGGAGGTAATTATTTGATGCCCATTGCTCTTTAATACTTGGATGTCTTTCTTAAGACTGTTCTTGTATGTAACACAGTGAGTGATCAAAGTTAACATGGAGATACTCTTTTTTAGTTCATATTCTAATTTTGTCTGATAACAACATTTTTAAAACTTCTAGTATAGGGTTCATTCTAGGATCAAACATTATATTATCTTTAATATGGGAGCCTTTTTCTACCAAGATGTTCAGACAACTTTCTATCACATTTGCTATCATTATCACTATACAAAAGAGAAAAAACACACGTTAAGATTACTCTGTAAGGCTAAAAGAAACCGGTTAAGAACCACCTAAGCAGCACTCAGATCACATACCTACTTTATTTCTTCACACTAGTAGTAATGACTTCAAACCATTTTGCTTCCTAGTCTGTTTATTCCTAGTGCTTCTAAGACTAGGAATGCTACAAGGACTTGGACTCAGCTTTTTTCTTGCAGAATTTTTGACCTCAGGGCAACATGTGATATGTACACACACACACACACACACACACACACACACACACACTACATGCTCAAAAACACCATGCCTGCTAACTCCGGCTATCACCTTCACCGGCATGCCTTTTCCACACACTGCTAACAATCCCCTCAGTCAGGGCAACTACTCTGTATGTGAAATACTTTCTTTCTTCCTTTCTTCCTTTCTTCCTTTCTTTCTTTCTTTCTTTCTTTCTTTCTTTCTTTCTTTCTTTCTTTTTTTTTTTAAAAAAAAGAATAGAAAGTATACTTTGTTTTAACCTTTACAGTCTTCCCAAAGCTAGGATCAAAACTAAAATCCTAACAATGGCTGACTGCAGCCCAGAGATGGTCCCACTCCACCCATCTGACTGCCTACTCCAGTCTCGTTTCCTGCTCTGCTCTCTGCTCCCTTTACTCATCTGACAAAGACTCTGGAGAGAGAGTCCCAGAGATGGTGTAGCACAGGTCACTTCCTTTGCCTATAACTTTATTACTTAACCCATACCTCACAAAGATTCCAATTCAAACAAACATTCATAAGAAAAGCCCTTCCTGACCTCTAGACAAGATGCAGTCTGATAAAGTTTCTGACATTGTAATTTCAAATTGGGTATTTTTAAACACCTCCTTTCGCTAAGTCTATAAACTGCATCTATGTTTGGCTATCCCCTAATCCTTACAACACAGAAGCAACCTTTCATATCTAACAAACATCCTTCCTCAGAAAAATACACGTGTACAGTTTCTTCAAAAACTTGCAGGCTTTATGTGTTTTCCAGATCTCCACCTACTGAATTAGGTTATACCAGGCTACAGTTGGCTTTTACAGGTTTTGTAGAGCCCAGTGGACAAATGTTTTGGAATTTTGGAAGTCATTATTAAACATTCAATAATAAAACCTTATAGTGAAATAAATTACTCCGATTACTGCTTTGCTTCATGTCATCCAGTGTAGGGTAGTCCCTGCCCTGCTCCTCATTTTTTCAAACATGATATTCAATGACACTGGTAGAGTGAAGTCAGATGAGGCAGAAGTATGTAAATACTATAAATCACTACCTCTGTCCCATATGAAAGTAGTTGTTAAACCTTTATCATCAAAGCACTGGGACTGATGTCTGTTTGATAGCAAGTCTTGTTAACTTAGTGCTAGGGTTTTGCTGATGGCTACATGTGTGGAAAAGTATCTATGCTGATTTACTATTTGTTATACAACTATTTTTCAGAAACAGAAATATAAGAGGACCCAAATTTAAGTTATAGAACTCAAGAATAAATACTGTATGTGTTAATCACTATAACACTTGGACTCATTCATAAATATAGTAAATGCAGTATTTTAGAAAATGGTAAACTGAATTGTTTGAAAACAGGAAGAACAAAAAAAGTTTGCTTCTAGGTATTATGTAGCATGTCACTAAATCTTAATGCCTGAAAATATTACTGAGTTAGTTCTTCTGTTAGATTTCCTAAAATTAATACTTTCCAACTGTTTCCTTTTAGATTAAGATCTCAATGTGATCTATACTACTATCCACCACTAGTTTCCAAATGTTCTTGGAGATATATAAAAAAGGAAAACACTGAGTTCTTGGAGATATATAAAAAAGTGCAAACACTGAACTCATGCAATACACAACAGGTACAAGGGTAACATACCAACAAATTATGAATCAGAAAGAACTCAATTTGTTTTTGCCTATATACTAGGGATTAACTTGCTGATATTATACAATACATTTAATGTAGCAGAAAGATACTCTTTAGGGCTACAATGGTGGTAGCTACTGAGGGTTTAAGAGCAGTCAGTGGGACAGAAAGACAAGTTACCTATTAATTACCACTACCACCCAACCAAAGCCTTTGTGGATAATCTTAAATCTATGTCACAGAGAACATGTTTTTATCAAACAATAGTTACAGAAATCTCAGACTCCATGTCTGAATTAAATAACTTCTTTTCCATTTAAGTCACATAAATTACAAAGCTGTTTCACATTTGACTTAAAATAACATTAAGTGAGGGAAGAGGAGGAGGAGAAAGAAGAGCAGGGGAGAACTCTATTTATAATTATTGGAGCTTCTTTATAAGAGAAGATCCTGTATACAAGAAATGAATAATTCCAAGACCCATTAAAATGATCCTAAATGCAACTGCCACACATAATAAAAATGTTTAAAACCAGAAGCAGTATGGTTTGCTTATTTTGCGATTCATAAATGCAGTTAATAGTTGAAAAGCAAGGCCAGGAGCCAGCTCCATGGGTCAGACAAAGTGTCTGTGGCACAAATGTGAGGAGTCCCTGAGGAGAATGTCTCCGAAACCTACACAAAGATGAGCATGGCAGTGCATATCTGCAATGTCGTGTACCTACTGTGAGTTAGGAAGCAGAGGCAGGAGAATTCCTAGAAGCTCTTGGACCTGCGAGCTCAACATAGTGAAAGGCAAACTATTAAGACAACCTGTCTCAAAAAAGGTCAAAGGCAAAAAATGTTGTCTGACCGCCACAAATGTGTCTTGGGATGTCCGTACCTGTACACTATGGGGGGGGGGGTGAGACTGTATGCTTCAAATATATCTCTCCTTAATTTTAATTCATAACTCGAAAAATTTTCCAGGATTAAGTAGTTTAGGAAATGGGCAAATTTCACCAGGTCCCCATGATAACCTTAAAGAACACTGAGTTAGTGAGACAGAAATTCACACATACATACAAGTAGCCTCATTCTCATTTCTACCCAAGAGAAAAATCTTATCCTAAGTTGATAAAATATAAAGTTATTGTACATATTAATATAATATTAAATCAAAAATAACTATAAAAATACTTTCCTGAAGTATTTTAACAAGAATTTCCTAAAGTAATTTGTGACTGATCCACTTAGAATGTGGTTAGTTATCAAAGATCAAGTAAAAGAGCTGTATTTTAAAATCACATTAGTATTTTTTTAACTCAATCATTAGCAAGTATACTTAAGTTAGGAAGTAAAAATGTATTCTTATTCTGTTAAGGTTAAATAGATATTAATTATAAAAACTATATAAAATATGGTGTGTGGAATATTAGCTGAAGATGTATTACATTTGTTTATGCTGCATTTGTTGAACTGTCAAACTGTGTTACTTTGCCTGCTTAAAACACCTGATTGGCCTAATGCGCTGAAGAGCCAATAGCAAGGCAGGAGAAGGGGCAGGCATGGCTGACATGCAGAGAGAATAAATAGAATGAGAACAACAGAAAAGAAGGAGGAGAGAGGAAAAGAGAAGGAAAGAACACCAGGTGCCAGCCACACAGCCAGATACAGAGAAAGAAGTAAAGACAAGACAAATAGAATAGAGAAAGGTAAAAGCCCAGAGGCAAAAGGTAGATAGGATAATTTAAATTAACAAAAGGTCGAGAGAAACAAGCCACGCTAAAGTCTGGCATTCATAATTAAGATTAAGTCTCCGGGTATTTATTTGGAAGCCTAGTGGCAGGCCCCCAAAAAGTAA